TTATCCAAATCTAATTTAAGTAAAAAATCCGAAAATTTGCCATCTGACTGGTCTCCACGTCTTGTAATGCCATTACACGTCGTGGAGGGCCAACACGTCATGAACCAATATGAACACGTTGTGTTCATCAGGCAGAACCAAAATCGATTTTCCTTTTGCTTTGAACAATTCATCAATGCATCAAATATGACAGAAAAACACCCTAAGCTTTGATACCACTAATGGGTTTTGAGCACTACAACATTCCTAAGGTATACATGCAACCCTAATGCTTTGGATCTAGGTTTTTCTCAAGTTATACATGCAATTCAATTATCCAAAGCATAAACCCTAATCTAGCATAAAATTTTCAAAATTGATAACATAAACATAGTTAGAAGAATACACTTTCTTGTAGCTTGTTGATCTTGATCTTCAAGAGCTTAGTGCCTCAATTGTTGCACCTCTAATGGAGTCACAAACACCAAGTATCAATTGGAAGATTATGAGAGAGAGGGTGAGGCTCTAAAAATCGACTAGGGTTCTTTCTTAAGTGCATAGGCCGATTTCAAGGAGCCAAGGGGTGTATTTATAACTGAGCTGCTAGGGTTTCAGGTAAAACCCTAATCTGATTGCTTAAGCCTTAAGCAGTCCAATAGATCCTTCCAAAAGGCTCCCTTTTGACGAAATCTATGTGGACTACACATAGAATTTCATCCACCCCTTCCTAGGGATCCATAAGCCCAACTTGCAACTATCAGATAATTGCAATACTAGTCCCTGTAATTTAATCAGTCTCTTTTGATCAACAAATTAATTCCAAATTTATTTCTGATCAATACTAATTAAATAATATAATTTCTCAATTAATATATTATTATTATAATATACTAATAAATCACAATTAACCTCTTTCTCTATAATTCATCCTATCAAATTGCTATGGTGAAGGCAACCCGAAAGGACCATGCTACTATCGGGTCAAGTACATACCAATTATAGTTATGGGCTTAGACACCTAATCCAACAGATGATTCAAATGGAATAATCAAAGGTTATGTTGTACTTAAAAATGACACATTTACAATCCACAAGGTTGCATATGTCGCTGGTCTTAAACACAATCTCATCAGTGTAGGGATGCCGACTGATGCGAAATTGAGAGTTGAGTTTAATGAAAAACACAGTTATGTTATGTCTCAAGATCGATCCAAATATTTCATCACATCAAACAGAAATGGAAATATGCAACCTCTGGACAATGAACTCATTATTGGGAAACCTCAATTATGTTTTCTTTTCAAAGAAGATTATGATGAAAGTTGGTTGTGGCACCGACGTCTAGCACACTTGGACTTTAAATACATCAAAAACTTAGTTACTGTTGAAGTTGTAGGAGGAAGGCCACTTCTGAAATTTGGTAGCAACACCCTATGTGTTGCATCTTGAATGTGGAAAAATCAATAGAAAATGACATACTCTGATCGTTGATTCTACCATTAAAGAACCTCTATAGTTACTACATAGTGACTTATGTGGCCCTTTGGTAATTGAAAGTATTTCTCAAAAGAAGTACATCTTGGTAATTGTGGATGACCACACTCACTTCATATGGGTTTTATTTCTTCGTTAAAAATCTAAAATCGCTCAAGAATTAATCAACATCATCAAAGGAATTGAATTTCGCATGAAGCTTCTGGTCTGAAGCATCCGTAGTGACAATGGTACTGAATTTACCAATGCCCTTCTAAACAATTATCTTGTTGAAAAAGGCATTGAACATAATTTTTTCTGCTCCTTACACTCTTCAACAAAATGATGTTGTTGAAAGAAGAAACTGAACCCTTGTTGAATAAGCCAGATTAATGCTCAACGTTTCAAACCATTCGTTACACTTTTGGACTGAAGTTGTAGCCACTACTTGCTTTGTTTAGAACTGAAGCATAATCAACAAACGACTTAAATGCACTCAGTATCAAGCACTAAATGGTAAGAAACCTAATGTCAAATTCTTTCACATATTTGGTTGCAAGTTGTTCATCAAGAATAACAAAGATCATCTGAGAAATTGCAACCAAAATGTGATGAAGCCATATTTTTGTGATACTCTACCATAGGGGTTGCATACATGGTTCTGAACAGAAGAACACATCTAATTGAAGAAATCTTTGATGTCACATTTGATGACTTGTTTTTTTGAAACTCCTCACAAACTCAGGTCACCTCTCACATCATGGAAAGTGATACTCCCTCTTCGGACAAGCCAATTCAACAAGTCATAATCAATCACCGACTTTGAATCTCTATTCGGACCTTCCGAAGTTTCCCTTGATGTTGATGTCATACGTTCAAATGAAGCTCCTATTTCTACCAATTCCTCTGGACCCTCCTTTCAGAAGCATCAACCATAGATGATACCTCTTCTTCTGATCAACTGTTGACCATTTCTCCAAAAGCTTATGCCAATTGTGGATCCCATTTGACGATTGATAACTCTGCACCCTCGGAAAATATATCTTCTGGTGATTCTACTGTTTAGGGGAGCTTCTATTAAGCATTCTAGAAGGTTCTTAAAAATACAACACAAGACATCACGTCAACTGCTGCAAGTGACCCTCCACATTTGGACCAGGGATCGTCCGCCAAACCAAGTCATTGGCAATCCCAATGTTGGTGTTCAAACCAGGTCAGCTAAATCTATTCAGGATGAATGCCATTATGCGGAATTTATCTCATTGGTTGAACCCAAAATATCTACGATGCACTAGAACACTCTGATTGGATCATCGCCATCCAAGAAGAACTAGTTGAATTTGAAAGAAACAAAGTCTGGATCTGTGTCCATCTCCCAAAGCATCAAGAAATTGTAGGTACTCGTTGGGTATTTCGAAACAAAGTCCATGAATCTTGAAATGTCATCCGTAACAAAGCCAGATTAGTTGCCAAAGGTTACAGTCAATTAGAAGGAATTGATTACGATGAAACATATGCTCCTGTCTCAAGACTAGAAGAAATACGCATCTTCTTGTCCTATGCAGCTCACAAAAACATTAAAGTTCATTAGACGGACATCAAAATCGCCTTTCTCAATGGAGAATTGAAAGAATAAGTGTATCTCCAGCAACCACCAGGTTTTGAAAACTTAACTTTTCCCAACCATTGCTACAAAATAATGAAATCATTCTATGGTTTAAAACAAGCTCCTCACGCTTGGTATGAAACTTTGACTCAGTTTCCTGATGATTCAGGATTCATTAGAGGACTAGTTGATCCAATGTTATTCAGAAGATCAAATCAGAAGCATCTCATGCTTATGAAACTCTATGTTGTCGATATTATCTTCGGATTAATTGATGAATCTATGATTGCTGACTTCTCAAAACTCATGGTAAGTAAAATTTCCAATGAGCCTGAATTGTGGAATGAATTTATTTCTAGGTTTGCAGGTAAAACAAATCCCTTTAAGGTACATTTATTCATCAGGAAAAATATACTTCTGAACTGCTCAAGAAGTATTCCATGAACAACTATGCATCATCCAAAGTAACCATGTCCTTCGGTGCGAAGATGTCTCCTGATCTATCTAGAGAATCTGTAGATCAAAGGAGTTACTGAGTAATAATGGGATCTCTTTTATACCTTAATACAAGCAGACCTGACATCGTGTTTGTCACTTGCCAATGCGTCCGATACCAGGCCAACCCAAAGGTCTCACATCTCGTTATTGTAAAACAAATCCTCAGATATCTTCGAGGAACAAAATCCTTTGGTTTATGGTATCCTATCGGAAATGAGTTCAGTTTTCAAGCCTTCACCGATTCTGATCATGTTGGATGAAAACTTGATCGTAAAAGTAAATCTGGAGGATGTCAATTCTTCAGAGGAAGACTTGTAAGTTGGTCTTCAAAGAATCATAACTGTTTCTCTCTTTCTACCGCCGAAGCAAAATACGTTGGTACTTCAAGTTGTTGTTCTCAAGTCCTCTGGACGAACTCACAACTTATGGACTATGGAGATCGTATGTTAAAGGTACAAATCTATTGTGATTCCAAAAATGTTATTACCATCTCTCATAATCCAGTTCAGCACTCTTTAACCAAACATATCGATATTCGATATCACTTTTTGAAAGAAAACATCTTGAAAGGAAATATTGAAATTATTTTTGTTCCCATAACAAAATAAATTGCAGATGTTTTCATGAAGTCTCTTGATCAAGCCACCTTAAATAACTTTCTTAACATGTTAGGGATGCTCAATCCCGACCCTAATATGTTAACTTAATATTTCTCTCTATCCTAAGCTTCTGGCATTTGTTACTAATTTTAATGATTTTTCAGAAGAATTGTTCTTTAAATTTTTAGCAGATCACATCAAAAGCAATTTCATTGTCTTTTGACTCTTCATTCGGACAGAAGATATATTGTGTGTTTAATCTAACTTTTTTCTCTTTAAAGTGTTTGTCCTCAAGTGTTTTATTGATCATCCCATCAGAAGAAGTCATTTCCAAAAGTTGAAAGGTATAATAAATAGAGTTCTTATGATTTGTGTTAAATGCTTAATTAGTTTTATTCCTTTTCGACGCATGTCCTTACAAGAATGTTTTATTTCGAAATCATCATTGAGTACATTTAATTGATCAAATCATTCTCTCTTCAAAAGTACATTTTCCAAAACAAAAGACACATGTTTGCTTTTAAACAATTTCTTTCTCTCCAAAGTTGGACCCCTCTTTTTAAAGATAATCTATTGTCACATGAAAATGGATTATTTGTACATTAAATACTGTATCGCTCAACTTTTCATTTAATAACTCGTTATCATTAAATACGTCGTACTTATCACATTTTTTAAAACATTTTTTTTGAAAATTTTGACGGTTCATAATCATATCCTGATATCACAAACCCATATCTAGTCCCTCTCTCCCACAGTTGTGACCCACGCACTCCAAACAGGTTGTAACTTCTGATTCTTTATCTCTCATATCTCATTTGTTCATCTTCCTTTAACTTGCATCAATGGTGAAATATGGAACTTTTTCCAAAAACCTTGGTCCTTCATCTCAGTCAAAACCTACTTACAAATATGCTTCTTGCAATCTTCAAGCAGTCCTTGATGCATATCTTTATGACTTTGTTCTCTCTCCTTTGATTAAAGCCCTAAAACGTCATTCTTTTTTTATTCTGCTCACTGTCTCAACAGCTAACTTTCCATTCGACTATATCATAAAGGCACATATCACTACGGAAGTCAATGACAAGCTTGATCGAATTAAAATTCAACTGATCAATGATGACACAATTAATCTCACCAAGCACATCTTCCTTCAATCCATTGGTCTTCCTAGGAATGTCTTCGGCTACTCAAGTGTTTCACAAACTTCTCGAAATAGGTCACAAAGCTCCACTTGAAACCACCAGTACCTTTAAGAAGTTAAAACTTCCAGTTACTTGGAACTTTCTTGTCTATCTGATCATCCGGTGTCTTAGTAGGAAGACTAGAGGAACTAATCAGTTAACCATTGCATGGCTTCAAATCTTTTGGGGAATCATCACTGGCAGACCATTTGACTGTGCCACATGCATGTGGAATGACTTCAAAGAATAGATCAGAACAAGGAAGACAGAAATTCATCATCTAAGATTTTGGGTTGTTTGTCTCGAATCTCTCTACAACACCTCCAAAATTCCTTTGATGAATCATTGGAGCTTTTTGAAACTCATCAAACGAAGAGATTTTCTCTTCCTGACCAAGCTGACTTCGAAGCCACCAAATGTCTACCTACTGCTCTTCTAGATCTCATTCCAAGAGATTCAGCAGTTCTTGCTCAACACATCAAGGATACAAATGAACCAAAACCGGAGCATCCTACGCCGTCCTCGACAAGAACTTTACAGAAAGCCTCCTGGTCCGAAGTCGCCGCAACTCCACCAAAAGGAATACAAGTCCCAAAGAAAAAGAAGGCAAACAAGAAGCAAAAGGATCCAGCTATTTCCTCTCCTCCTCCTAAAAGGCATACCCTATTGCACACCACATAATTTCAATAGTCTGGGGTGGTAAAAGACCTCCCGCTGGGTCAGAGGAACATAAATCCATCCATTCCTCTTCTCAAGCAGAAGATGTCTCCAAAGTAAAAGGATTTAAGATTGCTTCCACAACCACTCCCTTTCAAACGGGTGTTGGCATCAGCTTGTCCACTCATCCCCAAAAGGATACTCCTTTAGGTAAATTTTTCTTGAACACATAAGAGAATATCTTATTCGTTTCTACACAAACTGCACTTCTGAAGCCTCTCCTTCGGATATAACTTATGCTGTCAGAACTATGGATATATCCATAGGAAATCCTTTGAGGACTAACCTAAAAACCATCCTGTAATTAAATGTGACTGGATAGATAATTCGCTATCTATCTCTGCTTTAACAAAGTTCTATGGAATGGTTGTTTTGTGTGTGTGTACAATCTTAAGAGAGAAAGAAATAAAGTCACCAGGTCACCAGGTTAATTTGGTTCTTCGCATGGTTGGTTTGTGTGTACAATCTTAAGAGAGAAAGAAAAGAAGTCACCAGGTCACAAAGTTCTATGGAATGGTTGGTTTGTGTGTGTGTACAAGAACAACTTCTCCTGATCCATCATCAAAGATGAAGTCACCAGGTTAATCTGGTTCTTCAGACCGAAACAAAGCCATTGTTTCCAAAATCAAAAGAGAGAAAGAAATGAAGGACAAAGAAGCAGCAAATCACTGCAATGCAGAAGAACACACTCAATGACCTTATGCATAAAAGAGAAAAATAGAGAAAAGAATTGGAGGTTGCTGAATGAAGAGCCGAGGAACAAAAGATAAAGGACACAGAAGAAAATGCTCGAATTAAAGCTCTAACATAAGAGCTTTTCAAGAAAAAGGCAGAAGAGGATCCCAAATCCCCTCTGAATACTTCCACCACCATGAGGTCTTCATCCACGACTTTGACAAGGACCAAACTGATTTCAAGGGACAACGCTTTTGGAAATGATTCTGATGAATACGTTTCTGAATCCATCGGAATCATGGCCAACATCTTTTTCCGACCACGTATTACTCAGCAAATTTCTACCTCTCAAAAGCCCCTTACTAAACCAACAACTTATTCATCAAATTCCACAAATCGAGTATCTAAGGAGCATAAGTCCACAGTTGGAACTGGTTGCTCCTCGTCAAACTTGAAGCTCTTGGAAGCTAAAGTGGATCTTGTCACACCCTGAAACCAGGATGGCGGAATCGTCCCGGGGTGGAGGACGTCATGTTTTGCATCACAACTAATGTATAATAGCAATCATAGCAACACAACCATTACAGTGAATACATATATGAAAATGTTTACATCAGTTGAACATAGTTTGTATACATCATAGCACAATCAAAATAGTAAGACGTGACTCTATGCATTCCGTCTTCTCAAAACTCCAGAAGGTACCTGTCTACTGATTTCCTGAGAATACAAGCAATTTTGAAAGAGTATCAGCATAAAGCTGGTGAGTTCATAAGCTTTGTTTGTAGTGAAAACTTGTTAATGTATCTTGTAAAGTGTTTGTACATTTCCAAGAAAATCCAGTATTTACTTTAGTAAGAGCAGAACGTTACCAGTATGCATTATATGTTCTATTGAAAACCTGACTACTACAGTATGTATAGTTCGTTCTGTTTGAAAACCCTGGCTACCACCAGTATGTATAGTAGTTTCATTTATTTAAAATAAATCCAGTTGTTACATCCCTGGGATCCTCCAGTGCAATGTGTAATAGTTCTATTAAATTAAATAAAACCAATGAAGAGTGAAATCCTGTAAACAAAGGTTAGTTTATACTTATTTGCGAGTCGTATAACCATACTTGATATGACCTAGAGACCTTTCTAACGTTCTTCAGGCGTTAAGTTAAATGACATTTTTCCACCCCAGGCATGCCTGCCTAACTGTAGCTAGCAGTTCAGGTGTGAGATTGTCATTCCCGAATAGATCTATTCATAAATCTCACGCTCTCCCTCCAGGAGACTTTGGTTATACTGAGAAAGGATTTAACCCTATACACCTAAGGCTACAGTTTCGAAGTAGAGCCTCACAATTCTGTATAATCTAGTTTACAAGCTAGAGACAGTATAAAACAATAATTATCCTTGAACAATTGTACTTTATACTCCTGAGAAAATAAATAACATAAACTAAATTTGCCATAGTTTATATATATTCATCCATGAAATCTGATTTGGTAAAAACTGCCTAGAGGGTTATCCCAAACTATACCCATTATAGTTTATTAGAGTTGATGTGGAAAATGCTTTGTAAAAGCCTTTCTGAAAGCTATGAAGTTGGATTTCCAAAATAGAAGTTTCCCTTATGCTCAACATATTACAAAAAGAGATAAAATATATGAATATGTTATTAAACGTGGAAATCGTTGGACTGTATTAATAAATTTAAAACTTAATAAAATACTTTGAGTTTGGCTTGTATTCCCCCCCCCCCCCCCCCCCGAAAAAATTGAAAACATGGAAAATGTAGGGGTATGAACTCACCTGCAGTTAGTGATACGAATGAAAGATCGATATAGGATTGTTGAGTGTCAATTGGAGTCTTGAACGCAAGCGAATCCTATTTAACATATAACTACACATATATGAATATATTTAATGTATATAACCACTATTGGTGATAGGGACATGCCTTAGGGACATAAAAGCACTTAGAATTAAGTGTTACCAACATCTATGGTTGCACATAAGAGTGTATGGCCCTAAATTGGAGTGTAAGGCCACAAAACCATGGTTTTATGTGTGTGCGGCCAGGATGTGCGGCCAAGCGTGTGTGCGGCCGTACACTCCCTATGAAGTGTGTCAAAAACTTGTTTCCAAGTCTTAGGAATTTTCTAGGGAAGGTGTTTTGACCATTGCCTAGCCGGATGGGGAGTTTGTTGCTATTTTAGGCCTTTAAAAAGGTGTGTGCGGTTACACTTAGTGTGTGCGGCCAAGTGTGTGCGGCCGCACACTCCTTGCAGATCGAGTTTTGGATGTTTTCTATGGCTCAAATCTAGCAAATAACATGTAGGTGTAGAATACTTACAATGTAGAAACGTATAGGGCGGTTTGGAGCCCAAGACCTTAGTAGGTGTTCTTGGTGTTCTTGGTGAAACTGAAGAACACTTGAAGATCTACTAGAATGCAGTGATTTCATGGATGAAATCAGTGATTTACACTAGATGAGGTAAGGAATCAACAAATCAAAGGATAGAAACACTTACCACTTGAAGATCTAGTTGAAAAATCGGGAGCTACTTGAGAGAAATCGAGTTCTTGATTAGGAGAGTGAAAAGGGTGGAATGAAGGCCAAGACTCTTTCTTATAGGCTTGAGTGTGCTGCCAGACGAGAGTGTGCTGCCGGAGAAGGGGTGTGCGGCCGCACACCCAAGTGTACGACCGTACACTCCTTAAGTTGGAGTGTTTGGCCGATTTTTGGGTCGGGTGAACTTACGGAACTCAAATCCAAACTTCTAACTTGAAGCTACCAGGTTTAGAACACTCAAATGACTCAAAACAAGGCTAGAAAGTGACAGAAACGAGTCTGACTTGACTGATTTGGATAATAGTACAGGATAGAAATTTCGGGTTGTCACATATCTCATTTTGCAATAATTATCAAAGCCACCTCCTACTCCTACTCCAGTAGAAGTCTGTTCAATCACCTCTAAAGACCTCAAAGCAGCTCTTTAGAAGGTTCTTTCTGGATCTGTTTCTGCTGAAGAATCTCGTCTCGGACGCCTTGAGAGATTTTCCAACTTCCATCGTTATAAAATTTGATAAACTCTCCAAAGAGATCTCTGACCACAAATCTTGTGCTAAAGAAACTTTTAACACATTCTTCATCAATCTGGGCAAACAACATGGATATGAAGTTGAAAGCCTCCGTCATAACTTAATGCATTATCAGAAAAATAGCTTTGTGATGACAAGTATGTGTTCCAAGCTTTCAAGTGAATTCCTTAAGATGACCAAATGGCCCAACAAGGAATCGGAAAAATTAAATGAATATGTCTAGAAGATTGGTAATTTTGTTGAGACTGTTGAGATAAATATAAGTGTGGATGCTCTCTCTAAAACTGTCGCCCAATATTTTCTCAAAGTTCTTGCGAAAATTGATTAGCTAAAGAAGAGATTCGTGAATGAAGTTGGGCCTTCATTCATGAAAGGGGAGAAGAGGAAAAAAAATCTAGAAGAAACCCACGACTCTCCTAAAAAAACTACACATACTAACCCTCCGAAAGGCTCTGATGAGAAAAAGATCCCAGAAGGAGCAGTTATTCAGAGTCTCTCCGGTGATAATGAGAACCCAAAGAACTCTTATAAGAAAGCTCCAAATCCTCCCAAGTCTCCTTAGAAACCACTCAGTCCTCTGAAGTTGCCTCAAAAGTCTCTGATTAAAACTCCACCAAGAGATCTAGGAAAGAAGAAAAATTAAGAAGAAGAATGTAACATCTTGACTTCCAGGTATGAGATTGATTCCTTAAAAAGGAAAATTCCCCTTCGAACTCGTCGAGTTGATGGCCTGAACTCGACGTGCTGAAGGCTTTAGGTTCGCGTATATTTTTGGACCAACTCGACGAGTTGGTAAGAAAAACTCGACGAGTTGGTGGCTAGTTAAGAAACCCTAATTTTTAGGGTGTTGCACCCTATTTAAAGGCCTTATACCCTTTGGGTCGCTTCCTTATCAGTCTCCTCTGTCCAGAAAACCCTAGTTTGTGCATCCTCTCCCATATTTGTATGTGTGTGTGTGATCTTGAAGAGTGATTTAGTGGTGTTCTTTTGAAGGACGTGAGGTTGGAAGTGTCTAGATTGAAGGGAAGGCTTCAGATCCAGAAACTCTTGGGGTATTGCAGTTCTTTTGAGGTAAAAAGTCGACAACTTGCTTATCTATTGCTTAGATCTCTTCCTTGGAAGTTTATTGTCATATTTGGCTCATTTTAGGATTGTTCATGGGGTTGAGTATTTCTTGAAGTTATCACTTCAGATTTGGACATTTTGTGTCCTCTTTGGGCTTAAAGTTTCAAGCTTTATCAAGTTCTAGGCCCCCTTCATGCTTTAGGTCCTTTATTAAGCCTTCTTTGAGTTTTGGAGCCTCTTTGTGGCATGCATGGACGTAAAGTTAGCAACTTTATGTGGTTTTCCAGCTCTTGGGTACCAGATCTACATTTTAAAGTGTTGGACTTGATGAAAAAGGACTGAATGTGTTAAGCTGGGAAAATTTGACAACCCGAATCTTTTTCCCGTTAATGCTGGCACAATTCCGTTAATAAAATTTAATTCCGCCAAATTCTTTTGATTTGGAAAATCATTTAAGTTATATAATTGAATTTTCCTTTTATGATTCGGAACTAAAATCACGCGAAAACCAGAGTTTCCTTCGAATATCAGCGAAAATCCGGCCTGACTGGCATTCACGGCCGTGAACCCGATCACGGTCGTAAATCGTTCGCGGCTGGTGGGCCATTCACGGCTGGACCCCACCACCAACCATGCCCCCAGCCTATATATACGTGACTCCTACCCTCATTTACACTTTTCTAACGGCGAACACACTCCCTCTCTCTAACCCCCCCCCCCCCACCCGAAAACACAAGAAAACCTAAGATTTCTCTTCATCTATCATTCTACCCGCCTTAGAACTTGTTGGGGAGCACCAAAACATCAGTTTTTCATCAAATCAAGTGTTGTTGTTCTTGAGTTTCCAGCCGTACACCCTCCATATCTTCAAACCTTCAAGGGCCGCAAACCGTTTACGGTCGTACACCCTTCAAAAGTTCATATTTCCTTTAAGAACACCGTTCACGGCCGTAAACCCTTCAAGGGGTTGTTCACGGCCGAGAATAGTTCACGGCTGTAATCCCCTTCATGGCCGCAACCCCCCCCCCCCCCCAAAGTGGTGAAATTGGCTGAAAATCCCGCTTTCTCCAATTCAATCGAGTTCCGGATTCCGTTAAGTGCCGCATACATCAACCCGAGGGTCCTCACTTCCAGTTTAGCTGTCCGAAGTTTCACGTAACCAACAGTGAGTTCATACCCCTATGCTTTTAAGGTTTTAATGTTTTCATGGGGATAGTACAAGGCAAACACAAATGCTTTTGTGCAATTATACAAAAGGATTTCAAAACACTTAAAAACTGATGCAATGGATATAGTCATCGGTTTCATATTTCATAAAATATTTAGATATTTT